AAAAAAAAAAAAAAAAAAAAAAAAAAAAAAAAAAAAAAAAACTATAGTTCCCTTCGCATCCGGCAGAGTTTCATAGTTCCCGATGGTTTTTCAGAACAGTGTTCTGGTCATTTGTCAAAAACAAAGAACGGCAATAATAAAAATGCCAAGTTCGCGTCCAGCGGTGACTGAGGTCAGCGTCTCATGGACTCCAAAAAAAAAAACCGGAGTCACCTTCTCATCCAGCACAACCCTATAATTGCGTATGGTTTTTAAAAAAAATTCTGGCAATTAAAAAAAAATCTTTTTAAAAATGAGTATGTTTCGGAATGAAAAAAAGAATATACGAATCTCCCTGCACTCGTCATCCATCGTTCTCGAGAGATTTTTCGAATAGCGATTCACTGGGTATTTAATATATCGCGAAGGACTCATCGAATTTCTATATACCCAAGCGAACAATCGACTCTCTTCTGTCAATTGTCCATTCATAAGCGAATGTCTACTGGACGCGGACACGTGACCCGGGCAACTGTCCACTAAATGCTCGAATGACTCAGGACAATGGACACGGGAACAATGATAGATGCCCGGTGGATTTCACGTATACCAATACTACACACGCTTTACGTACGGGAGGAAAAAATCGTCCGAAGGAATTCGGATCTGGATTTTTATTGTACGATTTAATGCGGCAGGATATAACGAGGACTTCCGGTTTGAAAAAAGTTCTTGGCCGTCTTTCTCTTTTTAACAATTGAATTACCAAACATCTGCTGTCTATTGAATAGGTCGATGGTTTGAGGTTATGTTGGAGGTTTTTTTAAACCCTTACAAGGTTCAGCTATTTTGCATGGAGTTAGCTTCGGATAAGACCCCCCCCGCCTGTCACACAATGCTCTCCTAGAGAATCTGCTAAACGGAAGTCCCGTCCTTGAACGGATGGTCCCACGAATTCCCCGTTCGACCGTTCCCGCTTCGTACGATCCATTCAAACCTATGTGGCTTATATATACGGTGTATCATTATTTGTCAATCGTTATATACCTGGTTATGACACGTGTACCGGGTGGGTCAGTCGTTACCGATACGCAGTCTGTTTGGTCGTGGTAACAGGTGGGGTAGAAAAAATATTTGCTCCTCAGAAAAATCTTAATAACTGTTACGACCACGTGGGTGTACCGGCAAAGTAGGCTGGACCTTGTACTGAGGCTGTGTAAGAATTTGTGATCTCGTAAAGATGATATTCGGCAAGGATGTTTTTTTTTGTGATAATATTTTTTGGCCCGAAGAAAAAAAAATGGGATCGATCCAAATTCAAAATTTTATGTAATCAACGCGCTCAGCGGTTACACCAATATTTTTGGGACTGACTGTACGATTGTTCGACTATCATCAATTCCGATTACTGTAATGCAGCGTGGTTTTATCGAGGGTTCGTTCGTCTCTGTATATTAGTCGGGTGCGGTAACAGCCCTGCTCTATCCCCATATTCCCCTTCTCGGAGATGCTATTTCCCATTTATTCAATTCTCAATTTCAGAGTCATGCAGCCAGATAGAGACACGGTTATATGTTTGCGGGTACGTGCTACGGTTTGTGTTTATATATATATATATATATATATATATATATATAAGAGGTTGGTATTTGGGAAACGAGCCAGAACGACATGAATTTGCATATATATAGTATTACTGAAAATGGCCGAATTCATAATTTCTAACGTTATCCTCTTCTATCCTCCCTTTTTGGCACGCATTTACGCGCGTATGGGCCACGGGCAATGCGTGCGTACACGCACGCGACACAATAAGAACCGTGCGTGCCGTTCGCACGATTTTCACGTGTCGCGTAACTGGTTGCTAAAAATAGCACTGGAACGGCAATTAATTGCGTCTAATAAGTTCACGGCGGTTTCCGAAGCAGTACCGAGTTCTATATGGCGTCGGGTCGACGTATGGGAAATGTGCGCGTTGCTGTCGGGAAACCGTGGGAAAGACGAATGGACGTGTGACGCAAGAGACTTTTGTCGAATAAACAAAAACTGTATTGTTAAAAAATGTGTAGGAGTGATTTCGCGTGGGTCCCTGTAAAGCGTCTCTTTCGTTAACGGGCGCCGGATGCATAACGATACCGAACATAAGATGCCGCATTTAAGTGGCGTCTTCCAAGCTGGACGAAGGCGACAGGGCGTAAACTGTGCGAAAGCCGCAGTACGTCGCCACGTAAATGATCGGCGTGATCACGGTTGACATCTTGAGAATGGTGTAACAGACGCTCGTATTCTCGAGCTCGCAAGGTATCCGTGGATCTATGCGATAAACGAGCTGGACGATCCTGTACGGCGCCATCGTCAGGAGGATTCCGGTCGTGAGTAGAACTGAAATTGGCGAGCGATATATATATATATATATTTCATTTTTATCTCTTTTCCGAACCCACCAGCCAAATTCACGATACTTACCAAGTCGAAAAAAATCCTCCACGTCCCTTCTGCGGGTCGAGGCGCAAACCTCGGGCGGCTCCTTGCGGCTTCTGCAGAGATTCAGAATCGTAAGGCAGCACAGCATGACGATTACGATCAGCGGTAGGCCCAGGAATATCAACGTGAACAAGAGGGAGATCACTGCGACGCTTATATTGCCGAATTCGTAGTACAGATTCAATTCCATGGAAGTCAAGATGGCCGCCATCGACCAGATGGTCAGGACGCTCTTGACGGCGGTGGACGTTTTCCTCATGGATATCGCGATCGTCGAGGACGGCTGACACAGGCTGGCGTATCTGTCGACGCTGAAGACGCCGAGCGTCAGGATGGAGGCCTCGAACGTGACGCAGATTACGTAATCGACGTTCGGCTCGAAGGGCATGTCGTAAAGGTCGTTCAGCATCTCCATGGACGTCGTGAAGAGGAGTACCAGGTTCGAGATCAGGAGGCTGAGGACGTAGCAGCTTGGTCCGCTGCGAAGACTCGGGTTCAGGACTATCCCGAGGAGCAAGCTCAGGCTAAGGAAAGAGCCTCCGATCACCACCGCCAGGTTCGCTGCCGCAGGCGACTCGCGAGCTGCCTTTGACCTGACGTATTCGTTTAAACGATTTGTCTCGGTATCATCGATCGACCATTCGTTTTTATCGTGCCATACGTCGTAATCCAGGTATCCTCTCATTGTTCACGTGCGATATTGTTATTATGGATTCGTCGCCGATTGCGCGTTTTGGTATTTCTTTTTTTTTTTTTTTTTTTTTGGACCACGTAGGAAATCTGACTTATCGCACTTTTGCTTTACGTGGCATTGTCTACTTTTTTTTTATTTTCTTTTAACCGCTTTGCGTTTGGTGCATGCGAATTGCATTATGCAAAAAATGTGCAGGTGGTACGCAAGTGTATGCAAAAGTATGCAGGAGTATGCTTACTGGTGGACACGTCTCTTTGCTCGCTCTTTCGATACTGAACGTTGCTCCGTGCATTGGACTGGATCAGGCGCCTCGTCCCCGTTCACATGTCCTAGGTGGGTTTTAAACAGGGTGGGTCCTTTGTTGGTCTCTTTTCTTTTTTAAGGGTTAACGCTGCACGCGAACTCGTTCATTTCGCTGAGTGCTCCGCCTCGCCGTGGCTGATTAAAATGGGAATTACGAGGTTTTGTAAATAAAAAATTTTCTTTTTCCTTTCTTCTACCGTCCTTCCGTCATTATTTTTATAATTTTTCAAAAAACTACGAGCCGCCGGACCGCCTACCCGTGACGTCTCACTGTGAAAATCTTCGCAGTTACCGAGGCGACTCGCTCGTGAAAATAGAGACGCGCCTATATATCACTGTTGATACGGTGTATTTATCCATCCGGGCGTTCGGCTCTCCATCAGCATCTGGGCGCGTCCACAGTGTACCTCGTCCCGCGACCGTTCCCCTATACATCCCCATACTTCGCCGCGCCGTCTATACGCCGCGTATACGGAATTTTGGCAAAAGGCCACTGCCGAAATATCGGTCAGATTTTCTGCACTTGATAGATTTATTCGACCTATGGTCCAGTTATTTTCACAAGGTAATCAATATATATATTCACAAATCTATGCATATGACTATATAAAGCCATCAAGAAAAAGCATTTTTAAAAATCGCCACTATTGACAGTTCTCAAAATGACAGACAGCAGTAAAGCACAGACCGGTAACGTGAGCTATTGGCGATTAAAAAAATTTTTGTTTCCATCTAAAAAATATATCCCTCCTCTCTCTTTTTTCATCTCGTGACTCTCCCCTTACCGCGAATGCCACAGGACAGAAAGTAGGGGGGCCCCCCAAATAAATGCACTGGCAAAGGTATGAGTGAGTGGGGTACTCAGGACCCCCGTAACCGGTTCACAACCAGAGTAGAGCGTGACGACGTAACACGAGAGGAACATTCGAGCGAGAGATCATTCTCTGCCTCTCGGGTTGACTTCTAGGCCGCGTATAAAATAATGAAGAACCTTGGTGTATCATCATCCTCCCATTACCACGGTCCAGAGCCTGAAATTCCTCTTACGGTTTAGGTGGTGCGAGGAATTCGATGGGTGGGGTTGGGTCTG